TCCTACTGGAGCATGTTACACTGTTTGTCCTCCAAGTCTACCTGTCATACCAGCACCAACATTCAGTGTAGCTCCCAACTGAGCCCATAGTCTTCGCCCAAACTCACTTTCCTTCTGTAGTCTTTCTGTTGAGTGTGTCGCAACCTTGAGAAGCACCAGAGCTCCCATCCTGGACCTCTCCTGTGTTTCCTTCCAACTCACGTTTCCCTGTCAGAAGTCAGTTTCCAAATCCCAGATCCCCTTCGCTAACACCTTTCCTACCTCGTCTCTACCTCCACTAACTAGTTCTGGTCTCTATACCCTCCTCCTGGCTACTGCATGAGTCTTCATCTGGCCCTCTTTTCCAGTACCACTGCCACTGTGGTACTTAGGGAATGTGCATAGGAAGTGCTACCCTCTGATTTGATAGCCATCAAAAGCTCATTTGGGATGACGCTCAAGCTCCTAAGAAACAGCATCAAAGGCTCTTGTCTGCCTTTGACCTACATTTTCAACACCCACCAGCTATATTTTTAAATAATATAAACAGCTTGGCAAAAACCAAAACACAATTTGGCAGTAAATATTCCACAAGAAACACTAATATTAAAAAATATATACTTACAAAGAACAGACTCTACAGTCCTCCTTGTTACTCACCGATGGGTGAATCACACACAGTGGTATCTCAATTCATGTCTTTTGAGCACCAGAAGAGGCCTGCCTGCCATGTCTCTCTCTCCCTCCTTTACGGCTTCCCAATCCTCTCAAACCCCACTGTTGGCTTCTTTCTTTCCTCGCTCACTATCAGCCCCCCTCCAGCTCCACTCTCTTTCCTGTTCACTCTGACTCACAGTAACTATACTTTTAGAAATACCAATTTCCCACCCCTTTCCCTGCTCTCTCTCTTTCTCTCTCTCTCTCTCACACACACACATACACCCTAAAAACTCCCCACCTTTAATGATCCCAGCCATCTGTGCTGATTTAATACCAAGTGTCAAACAGAAAAACAAGCAAACTAACAAACCAGAGATGGATATTGGAGCAAATTCAAAATCTAACACCCAGCAAGGTTTTGGTAGTCCTCCAGTCTTGTGAGCTAGGTTGTGTCGAATAAAGTGTTACTGAATGCCCACCCATCATGTGCCTGGTTTTCATTCTATTATGCCTTTTGTTCTAAAAATGTTTCTCTGTCCCTTTTCAGAAACTGTCTAATATAGTTCAATCATAGAATGAAAGAGGTGGGATTATTTTGCTTTAGTTTCACAGTAATAAGAACAATGACTTCCTAAGATGACTGCTATTACTTGCCATTCTAAAAGTATTCTGTGCTCTGTCACACGGCCATACCCTTGTACATGCTGTGATAATGTCCTTCCGTTCAGAGTCCGATGAAGCCTTGCTCTTTGAGGGTCACATCACCCCTAGATCTGCATTTCCTCCCAATCCCTCAAACGTTAAACATTGTGGATTGGGTGAAGGTTTATGGAACCAATCAGTGTTCCCTTCAACAACTCATTTATGTTTTGTTTCCCGTCAATGACTGCGATCCCCACAATGTCCTCTTCCTGACTTTGCTGTCACGGAACAGCTGGGGTATTTGCTGTAGCCAAAGGCAGGCCACTGTGGCCCCCATGCCATCCCTTGCTCTGCTCAGATGTCTACCTGCACTATGTATGACTGCTTGCCCTTTACACGGTGCCCAGCTGTGCTCTGTGAATCAACTCTGTCCACGCTGCCATCCCGACTGCTCTCTCGGCCATGGGGCCCCTTCTATATTATTGGCTGAGTGTTACACTCCTTGACCCTTATTCCAGCTCTCTCATTTGGTTCTAGGTGGTTTTCATTACAGGGACCCAGGGTTCAAAAGATGTTCTTCCTCTTCCTAAAATTTAGTTATCTTTTATTTTGTTCTTTGATCAAGAGATTCTTTTAAGATCTCTGAGACACTGGCCAATTATATAGGGAAACTCTTGGTGGTTTTCCCAGTAGCATCATAAGCTGACCGATCCCTTAAGCCAGTGGTTCTCATCCTTCCTAATGCCGCGGCCCTGTAATACAGTTCCTCATGTTGTGGTGACGCCTAACCATAAAATTATTTTCGGAGCTACTTCATAACTATAGTTTTGCTACTGCAATGAATCGGGTGACCCCTGTGAAAGGGTTGTTCGACCCCCCCCAAGGGGTCTCGACCCACAGGTTGAGAAGTGCAGCTAAGCAAATCGTAAATCAGCCAATACTATTAGGTAGACTGCAAACATCTTAGCTAGACAGCACACTGCCTAATCCTGCAAACTGTTCAGGTGGATTAAAAATTGACCAATCCCTGCAAGCTGCCTACACAGACATCAAACAGGCCAATCACTTGGCAGACTGTGGCCCAACCAGAGATTGTGAGAGAACTACATGCCCAGAGCCAGAAAGGCTGCGGCAAAGAAATGAATTATACCACAACTCTGTATCTTATTTATGCCTCGCTGTTCTACTCCTTTTGTATCAGAATTCTTCATAAACATTATTTATACTGTCTCAATTTTTCTTTCTTTTTTAATTAATAAATCATTTTATTGGGGGCTCCCTTGTACCTATTTTGCCATCATCATTTTCAAAACGTTTTCTTCCTGCTTGAGCTCTTGGTATCAGCTTGTCTCTCTCCATTTTCCCCAGACTCTTTTCTAGCCCACTTCAATAAGGCTTCAGTCTAAGAGCATTCTATACAGCAAAAGCCAAAGATCCGCTCTCAGGCCTCACCCGTGGCCTGTGTCAGCAGCATGTCACGGAGGCAATTACTCCTTCCCTTATTCTCTTTTTATCTCATGCATGTTCACTGGCTGCCTCTTCCCTATCTCGACCACCTCTCTCTCACGCAGTGCAGTGTCTGCGGGCTCCTCCTTCTCTACCTGTACTCATTCTGTGTCACTTCACCAAGTCTTAGGGCTTTAATGCCATCGAGGTGCTGACGGGCTCATGATCTGAACATTTTAGATACAGTCGGGGAAACCCTGTGGAATGCCACACTGATAACCCAGCTGCCTACTTGCCACATCTAGTGGGATGCTTAATAGAGATCTCAGACTTGACATGTCCCAAACCTAAGCTCCCAACGTGTTCCTCTTGTAGCTTTTTTTGTCATCTCAAGAAATGTGACAGGGATGATGTCAACTGACACTCCTGTCTAAGGGTAGGGGTGGAGCCCAACCTGTCAGTCAGCCTGATGACACCTCCCTGGGGATGTGGCCTTTCGTAGCTGAGAGACCAGGAGAAGAGATGATTTCTCTGTCAGAGCCGGATCCTTTGTGTGGTGTCTGGTTTGTCAATTTCCTGTTTTCTCCTGCCGCTCCCAGGAACTGTCAGCAGAGGACCAATGGCAGAGCCATCCAGCCTACCTCTGACTCATTTACCTCTGTATCCATCAGTCTGTATTTATTTAGCCCCCACCCCCACCCTTCATCCTGCTTCCTGTTTAGCAGCATCCAGAGCTACATGGAAGCCATTCTTGAACTAGCTGTGGCAGCCATTTCTCGATGTAAATCTTTCTCTATATAAATACATACAAGCTCACTGGTTTTCCTCTCTCCGGAACCCAACTTAACACACAATGGAAGCACCATTAATTCAAGCCAAGATCTGTCATGCTCATCTGTGTTTGTACCAGCTGGGTCCAAGGCACCATCATCTCTTTCTTGGATTACTGGAATAGCCTTAGATTATTGGAATTCATCTCCCTAGTGGTCCCTGCCCCTCTTATTGCTCCCACACATTGTCTACTCTTTACTTAGCAGTCATACATTTTACTCTTCTGCTGAAAACCCCTCAGAAGCTTTCTAGTTTACTGAAGCAGCTCAGTGTAAATTCTACTTATAATGGCCAAAAGATTCTTCATCATCTGACTTGGTCTCCTTCCTCCCACCCTCTTCTTCCACTGTGGTCTGGATACAGTGGTCTCCTTGTGCCTACTCACACACTAGCCTACTCCTCCCTTGAGACCTTCGGGTGGGGAGCAAGGGCCGGAAGACAAAGCAATGCGCTAGGCCGTTGAGGGTGTTAACTTGGGTGATGTGGAAGACAGAAGCCCACAAGAGGGAAAAGATAAATCGAGCAGTGGGTGAAGGGTAAACTATTGGGGGTGACTGATTAGTAGTTTAAGCTGTTCAATACGTTGGTGATCTGAAATGTAAACCCTCACCTACATTTACAATAACAAATTATTTAAAAAAAAGACTTTTGTCCGTGTCCCCGCTATCTTGAATACTCTTCTCTCAGAGAGCCCCATGGCTTGATTCTACCTCCTTCAGCTCTCCGCTCAATGTCAGCTGTCTTCCTCGATTGCACTGTCAAACGCACATTCCCCGAGCCATGAGTCATAACTGACTTGACAGTAATGAGGACGCTAAGAAGCCCTGGTGGCGTAGTGGGATTTAAGTTGGTTCACCAGTCACAAGGTTAGCAGTTTGAATTACTGTTTTGGAAATTCAACGGAGTTCTACTCTGTCACTAAGAGATGATTCGGACTTGATGGCGGGGGCTAGGTAAGTGGCCCTCTTACCAAAGTGCTTTCTTTTTCTCCTAAACGGCATCACCATTTTTCATGTACATTTGTTTGTTGGTCTGTGTTCCTCGTAAGATATGTGCTCTAAGATGGAAAGGACTGTCTGCTTTGTTCACCGCTCTTTCTCTTGTGTCTTGAAGGGGACCAAGCACATAGTAAAGCGCTTAATCAGTGTGCAGGAGCTAGAATAAATATCTTAATTTATTAAGATGGTAGAAGGTCCAAACTCAAAGATGGTAGAAGGTCCATAGCTTAAATATTCCAGAGAAGTAAAAAGTCCATTTGGTAAAAGGTAACTTCTTTAAGAGTCAGGTCAGGACCCCCAGAAAGGGAAAATCCCCAGCACTGAACTGTAAAAAATGAAAAAACAAAACACCCCCACCCCCACAAACAAAAAAAATATAAAAACTTTAAACAAGTAAATCACTGTCACATTTTCAGAGACATAATCTATTTATTGGGCACTTACGTTTTAAAACATGGGTCACCCGACATCAGCTGCATGCTGATCAAAACCTACATGAGAAAAACAGGTATCGTGATTACGAAAGAAGAGCTGGAGGGAAGCCATGTTCTACAGATCTAGTGCCTAGTCCAATTACGTTCTATTTAGAACGCACTGAGTGAAAAGACTATTGGCGTGGCTATCTCCAATACTGCTGCTGTGAACAGATGAAAAACCCTGTGAGCGTGAACAATCAGAGTGGAAAGACAGAAAGAAAGACAAGTGCTTCCTTCACTGGTGATCATGCTGTGGGGGTGCGGGGTGCAGCTCTGAGTTATCTGTCTTCACTCCCAATTCCTCTGGTGCTTAGGGATCTCGATGTGCTTCCTCCCAGCTTCCCATTCCGATGCCTCTAGGGATGCCTGTCTCCAGCAGCACAATGTTTCTGGCCTTTGCTCCAGTTACAGAATGGGGTTTACAACTTTTCTAATCCCTTCTGGAATGCTGCTACTCTTTAGTTGCTGGCCAGGTTTTAAGAATCAGCCGCAGAGGGAAAAGGGAAGGCCATGTACAGTACAGGGGAGGTCCGCACAATATGACCAAGGCAAAAGAAGACACTGGGAGGTGCCCAAGAATTCTGACAACACAGATTAATACCACCACACACACAACCCTCTCATAGTGAACATGAGTCT